GGGGGGGGGCCCCCGGCCCCGCCCACCGCAGCCCCTGCCGAACCCTCTGCTGTGCGACCCCCCAACCATGGTGGCCCAGGGTGGCCCTGCCAGCTGGGGTGGCCACAGGGTGCCAGCGGGCAGGGACTGCAGGTCCCAGCACGCACGGATGGGTCCGGCTGGGAGCACCCGGCCATGCTGCGGGCAGGAGGTGGCGGGATCTGGGCCGTGGGTCTGGGCGACATCGCCCACTCGCTGTCTGTCTGACCCGGGTATTTATTTGCTGCCGGCTGCCAGTGAGCGCGGCGTGGCCTGCGAGCTCCTCAGAGCATCACTGGGGTCCTCTCGCTTACACCAAGCCTGGTCCCTATGGTTTTGTTCATGGACTGGTGGTTTCCCTCTGCTTTGCACCAGCGGTGCCAACAGAGCTGTGCTGGAGCTTCCAGTGTCTCCCCATGAACCAAAGCCCTTTCCCAGAGAAGCAACAGGCACCCATCATCCAAGAGACCCAAAAAGCATCTCCCAGAGCCAGGAGACAACCCTGACTTGCCAAACCTTAGCTCTGTGCCATTCCACCACTCTTTTTCCTCAGCCAGAGATGATGACAATTCCCAGTGTGGTGTCTGCTTCGCAGTGCCGGGGCCATACCCATGCTGCACCCCAGCGCAGTGCTGGGGCCGTACCCATGCCGCACCCCATCGCAGTGCCGGGGTGCTCGGCTGCAGCCGGCTGCTTCCCAGGGAAGCGCCCGTGGTGCCTTCCTTTCATCTCCTGCCTGGCAGCAGATTAAAATTTCATCACTTCAGCGGCGGAGAAGGTGCCGGGGAGGAGCAGGAGCCCTGGGCTGGGGGAGGGCTCAGCCCCTCACCAGAGCAGTTTGTGCACAGCTTGGTGCCTGCTCCAAATCCAGCCGCATGTGGTTGGGCTGGGTGAGCTCAGCTGACGGAGCCAGGATTTGGGCACAGCCATGGAGGGGTGGCTGCAGGCCGGGCTCCTGCTTCCCCTGGGCCTTCCCTTGCCAGAGCAGGAGGCTGGGCAGGAGACTCCATTGCGGGCCGGGCTCCTGCCGGTGCTCCCTCCGTGGGCTGCCCACCCGGAGCGGCACCATGAGCCCTGGGCTCCCAGGCAGATGCAGCTGAACCAGCTCCAGCCGCCGAGCAGAAGCGCAAAGCCAAGGTCGCGGCAGGATGCGCCTCCACGCTGCCGGCAGCAGCATTTCCCTGCCTCCGTACCAGCAGCCCCAAATCCCCCAGCAGCTGCGAGATGGAGGGATTGCCACACAAAACCAGTAACTCCCAGCAGCCGGACTGCCCGGTCAGCCCAAGGAAGGTGCTGCCTGGGCTGGACCCCATCCTGTGCCCACAGCGAGCCAAGGCCGGGCCCAGCACGCGGGACAGCCGGTGTTTTGCCCTGGTTGCTCCTGGCAGATGTGAGAGGGCTGGTCCGTGTCACCCCGCTACCTCCTAGGCTCCCGCAAGAGCGTTTTTGATGTGTTCCAATATTTTTTCCAGAGGCTGAACCATAATCCCCTGGTTTTTCCTTTTCCCCTTTCCAAATGAAGGGGAGACATTTGCTCTTTTCCAGCCCTGTGATGTCTGCTATCCTCAGCAGGTACCCCGAGACATCGCCACTGCACTGAGCCCGTGCTGCACTCACCCCTTCCCTGTCCCCTCTCCTTTCCCACCACCAGACAAGGCCTTTTGGGGTGGCCTGGCCCCCTCTGCTCCCCTCTGGGCTCCTCCTGCCTCCCTGTGTGGTGCGGAGCCTCCTCTGCCTCCCCAGCCCGTACTGGCACATCACTATTCGCATCACACGACACTCATCGCGCGTCCTTGGTGTGCCAATTAAGTCACAGCTCTAATTACGCACTTAGGCTCGCCAGTCGCTCCTCTTCCCTCTCGCATCAGCAGACAGACACCTGGGAGGCTGCCAGCCAGCCCCCTCCTCTCGCCCAGCCCCTGTCCCACCTCACCCTAAATATGCTGGGCCAGGCTCCGGCAGCAGCTGAGCACTGAGACCACATCCCCGTGACACGGAAAACTGTCCCTAAATCAGCGCTGTGGGGTAGGGCCATTGTGAGGGTCCTGTTTTGGCCTGGGCTGCCTCCTGTGCAGCCCACGAGGGAAATGACTGTGGTGAGTGGAGATGTTCTGGATGTCCCCCAGGAGGGACAGTCCCAGCCCTGGGGTCTCCAGGGGACAACGGTGGGACAGGACAATGTTGGGGGGGCCCCTGTGCTGCTGCTCCCCAGGAGACCCTGGCCTCCAGAGCTGCAGTTGTGCGCTAGGACCCCCCCCCCCCCAACCATCGCCTGCACTCTCCTGCAGCACCCTAAGACCTCGGGGTGAAGGCACCCTGCACCCCATTGCAGAGCTCACCCAGCAGCGCATCACCTGCGTGGTCGCTCACTGGGAATTGCTCCAGGGCCTCTGGTCCCCCCATCCCCCAGGGGCTCCTGCCCAGCTGCGGATACCCACGGGGGGATGCAGCATGTTGGGGGGACACTGTGCTTGGGAGGGGGGATGGCTCTGTGTGTTGGAGAGGACACTGCAGGGGTCCCATGCAAAGGGGAGCAGGGCAGCAGGGAGAGCTGGGGGCTGGGGCTGAGCTGCACAGGGTGCTGGGTGTGTGGGGTCCTGCATGGGGGCTGCCAGGATGTGGTGCTGGGCAGGGGGAGCTGCACAGAATGCTGTGGGGTGCAGGGGGTGCTGTGCAGGGGGTGCTGCAGGTTGCAGGGGGTGCTGTGGGGTGCAGGAGTGGGTGTTGTGGGGTGCTGAGTGCCACACGGGCAGGGTGCTGCAGGGTGCTGTGCAGGGTGCCAGGCCGGTGTGCTACAGGGGTCTGGGGGTGCAGGGGTGCCGGGGTGTAGGGGTCGGGGCTGCAGGGGTGCAGGGGTTCGAGGTTGCAGGGGTGCAGGGGTTCAGGGGTGCAGAGGTGCAGGGGTTCGA